TGATGATGTTTCCCACTGATGCCAGGATACCAACCATAATAACATTCCCTACTGATGTCAGGATACCAACCATAATAACATTTCCCACTGATGCCAGGATACCAACCATAATAACATTTCCCACTGATGTCAGGATACCAACCATAATAACATTTCCCACTGATGCCAGGATACCAACCATAATAACATTCCCTACTGATGTCAGGATACCAACCATAATAACATTTCCCACTGATGCCAGGATACCAACCATAATATTTCCTACCGATGTCAAGAGACCAACGATAAAAATATTGTCTACTGATGTTCCGAGACCAATCATAATAATATTCCCCATTGATGCCAGGAGACCAACCATAATATTTCCTACTGATGCTAAGATACCATCCATAATGATATTTCCTACTGATGTTCCTAGACCAACCATAACATTCCCCATTGATGCTAGGAGACCAACCATAATAATTTTTCTTACCGATGCTAAGAGACCAGCCATAATGACATTTCCTACTGATGCTCCTAGACCAACCATAACATTTCCATTGATGCTAGGAGACAAACCATAATAATATTTCTTACCGATGCTAAGAGACCAGCCAGAATGATATTTCCTACTTATGTTCCCAGACCAACCATAATATTTCCCATTGATGCTAGGAGACCAACCATAATAATATTTCTTACCGATGCTAAGAGACCAGCCATAATGATATTTCCTACTGATGTTCCTAGATCAACCTTAACATTTCCCATTGATGCTAGGAGACCAACCATAATAATATTTCTTACCGATGCTAAGAGACCAGCCATAATGATATTTCTTACTGATGTTCCTAGACCAACCATAACATTTCCCATTGATGCCAGGAGGCCAACCATAATAATATTTCTTACCGATGCTAAGAGACCAGCCTTAATGATATTTTCTACTGATGTTCCTAGATCAACCATAACATTTCGCATTGATGCTAGGAGACCAACCATAATAATATTTCTTACCGATGCTAAGAGACCATCCATAATGATATTTCCTACTGATGTTCCTAGACCAACCATAACATTTCCCATTGATGCCAGGAGACCAACCATAATAATATTTCTTACCGATGCTAAGAGACCAGCCATAATGATATTTCCTACTGATTCTCCTAGACCAACCATAACATTTCCCATTGATGCCAGGAGACCAACCATAATAATATTTCTTACCGATAATAAGAGACCAGCCTTAATGATATTTTCTACTGATGTTCCTAGATCAACCATAACATTTCGTATTGATGCACTGGAAAAAACTTATTTTCTCGTTAAGTTTTGGGCAGCTATCCTGTTTTTTTTTTTTACATTCTCCTGATCTTTCTGGCACATCAGAATTCTTGCAAGTGCGCTGGATTGCAAAGCGCAGATTTTTCTATTGATTAGGATAACGTTTCGTTTTGTTTTCTATTGATGTTTCCTTTGATAATAACACATAATTTCCTACTTTAGTTTTCTACTAATATTCTGGTCACGTTATTATTTCCTAGGGATGAAGTGTTTGTATTTCTGCTAATAATTTTGGATCTAATTGTACTCATTTTCAACAACTGGGCAAAATTTTCTTTAGAAATAACAAATTCTCTTCATACAAAAGAATAATATCTTTATTACTATGTTAAAAATTATTTATACAATAAATCTTTTTATAAAATCTTTCAAAGAAAGACAGCAAACATTAGTATAAACAAGTTTATATGGTTATACTGATTATTGAAGATTTCCTTCCATACAACCAACTAAACTGACGATTAGAAAGTATTTATATCTCCGTACGACAAAGTATTAAAACAAATACACAGCATTAATTAATTAAGAAATTACTTTCAAAATGTTCTTCAAATGTGCAAAGGAGGATTACTATTTCATTGATCAGATATTAGAGGCTTGGAACTGCTTCATGCTTGAACGCAAGCGCCATAAAATTCAATTTAACTTCATGTGCATAGACTTGAATGTGTATTTTGGAAGCAATCCAATCTTATGTTGGTTTCTTTGACAAGTAAAGGACACGATCGAAAACCAGCAAATGTAAATGCATTATTGAAGGCTCCCTGAATTTGACCAATGGTAATATTGTTAAGTGTAATAATTCTTTGAGTACACAACCCTGAGATAAAATTAATATTATAATATACAATAATTGTGACAAAAAAATGTAGGTGCATTACATGTATATAATATAAGCATTAATAAACCATAAAACAATCTCCCCATATATGTACCAATTAATTTTCAGTTGATTTCATTACATTTATCACACATATATAAATATATCAGATCTGATATCAATAATGAGGGAACACTGGACTAAGTCCGACTTACATTTAGATCAACCCAAACGCTTAATTTGACATTTGGGGAACAATATGCAGTCATCGTGACAGAGTGTAAAAATTAGTGTTATATAAAGTTAAGTTTGGCAAACTACATTCATTGAAGATTATTATGATAAATTTAATGATTTTTTGTTCCTGTGCAGCTACGTTATCTTTTATGTTTGGAATGCCAACAAAATTATTCTAAGAACACAATATACTAAATAACACATATTAAGGCACACTGTATAGAAATGTTTTTAAGACAGCCAGTCCTTTACATTTGGGTGAAGTGCCCGGCTTGATACGGTGGTTTTTCAGGCGCATAAGCAATATTAACTTTTCCCTTTTCTGATTCGTACTGAACATGTCTGTTTGCTGTTCCTTCCAAATCATTTAATGTTCGTTCGTTTATGTCTTGGATTCTCTTCTGATGATCTTGAAATCCGTATGGTTTTAAGCTCAAAAAGAAAACCTGCAAAATGAATGGATTTGAATGAACTATAAATAAACAATAAACTATCAAAAACAATGATAAAGTGACGTTTCCATCAATCAAAACGTTATATAAACATCAACATGGACTCTCTCTTAGAATCAATCATCCTATCGATAAAACTGGTAATGTATTTAAGAAGTTGCTTACCTCTTTTGTGAAACCATATTTTATGAAGACGTGAAGGGCCTTGAGCGGAATGAAAATAACGGAGACACATGCCATGGCCCAACCTATTCCTACAGCCCAATCAGGGTATACATAGGTTCCTCTTGGTCGGTCATACGTCAGTTCGGAATAGTTGATGGCACTTAAAATGAAAATGACCTGAAACGAAATAATTGGTATTTCAGTGATATTAACTATGACGAACAAAACTATATCTTTTAGCACAGCGGCAGCAACGTTTTACACGAATTTGCATTATGACATCTTCATACATCTTCGTACACATGCTTCGCATTATATCATCCACCCACGTGCTCCATATTATCCCCCTATGCTACATATTTTAAATCTCTCCATACTTACAATGCAAAATAATGGAGCGAAGACCACCCAACAAACTTTCATGTAAGGCCAGATTTTCTTTCCTATCATCATTTCTATATTATCATAGAATCTATTTACACCTGGAAATACAAAATTTACATTGGTTTAACCTGAATGGATGAAACAATGGACTCTTGCCCTGTCGGTTTGAAAATACAAATTCCATGACGTCATTGTCTTCCTCGTCAGTATAGTTTCCTTGAACAAAAGAAAAGTCTTTGAGTTGCACTGATTACTGTTAAAAAAACAACAACCGAAGGCTTCGATGTTAAAGTGATTCCATACTGAGCTGTGTTCAGATTAACAGTTTCCTGCCATTAATACCTAATGATAAACTAATAAATAATAACGTACCATAGATCCAGGCTACGGATATCAATTCAAAGAAAGCCACCAATAAAATAATTCTACTGCCAGAATAATAGTCAAACAATTGAAACACGTACATTCCGCCCTGTAAAATAAAAGTATTATTTAAGCACCGAAAATGCTTTAGAAAGAAATCTTTACTGAAATAGGAGGAGCTTATTCTTCCTGGTACCCCCAGTCTAGGGAGGCCGGCGACGCTGTAAAGTCCAATCTTTTATAAGCTGAACTTGGATTAAAGTAGATCACAACTCCATTCATATAGATTGGCATATTTTTGACAAAGAAAAGAAATTAAATATCAAATCATTATATACTTACATTTGTCACCATAGATAAACCTATAAAGAAATTGAGTATACACACTCCTAGAATGAATAATTCCTTTCTGTATCCAACTCTTAGTAATGCTGGATACTGATCAACTACAGCTGTAACTACACCTTCAACACCAACAAACTGAAAATATAGGATCAGTAAGAATTTTATACTAATCAGTGTCAATTAGCAATTTCTGTTATCTGCCATTTGGTCAATTATTGTATGGACACTTGCATTTCGCATGATTAATATCTCCACTTTTTGGAAAATGGCGTCATTGGGATTGGATAATACGTTATAAATACTAATAATATTATCTTAATACTCATTATAATAAAAGATTTTTCCAACGAGCAAAGCCATATAACGTTTGGAAGATAACTCACTATTGGAACAACGTCTAAACTTTTCATTTTTTCATTTTGTCAATTATGTAATTATTATAAATGATCAATAATCGAGTATATAGAGTATAGGTCAATATTTCAGCAATGAATGCAGCTTTTACTATTAGCGATCGCGCTAGGGATACGGTGAGTCTGTAATTCTATAAAACCCAGTCTTATGACCATTAACAGGAACACATGTAAAATACGTCGAATTGCTCTAGAACTTCTTAAGTCTGTTAATGTATTTATTACAGTAGAAAAGAAACTGTACATACCTGACTGTCCAAACCCAATAAAATAACCATCAAAAAGAATAATATAGACCACAATGGAGATATCGGCATTTGAGCTACAGCTTTAGGGTAAGCAATAAAAGCTAAACCAGGTCCTGAGAAAATTATAAATAGATCTGCTTAAGTTTCATAGAGGACAAGTCAGTTTTTATAATGACCGAGTAAACCTACCAAAATAGTAAATGCAAATGTAGTGTTTAAATTGCACACCCTGGAATATTTTGATTCCAAATTGTGCATATTTAGTTACTTAATAATGGTTATTTTAATTGCTGATGTGTAACGTGTTCAAATCACAGCATTTAATTAGTCTAAGAAACCATCACGGTCAAATACATTGGCAAATGTATGAATATTTATCTCAATTTTATCATACCTGATTCGGCCACTTCGGCGATACTGACACCCTGTACTGAAGCCATATAACCTAAAATTGTGAACACTATAAAGCCAGCAAAGAAACTGGTTCCACTGTTCGCTAAGGCAAATAATATAGCATCCCTGAAATTAAATAAACATTGGAACTTAGATATCATCTTTCATCTATAATGAATCAACGGGCGTTACGAAAATGTTAGCGAATGGAAATACGTCCAGATATTGTCCGTCTATGCTTAACAGACAGTATATCAATGGGGCATTTGATATTGTAGACAAGCATTTGATTTTTTTACTGTTAATGAAGACGGAAAACACCATGCAGTGTGCAAGGAGGGAAATATTCTGCCTGTCTGCAACTTTTTTTCTTGCAGTGAGCACATGGTGTAGCACTTCACTATGAATTTGTTTCTTATCTTTTTTGAAGGTACAAACGATCAAAGATGAACCAAAAAAATTTCTGTGAGTTAATTGTCGCAAAACGCTAGCTGTCATAAATGTACTGCATTTACCTGTATGAATTATGATTGAACTTGTTATAACTTCCTAAAGCAGTTAATGTTCCTAAACTAATAGAATAGGAAAAGAAAATCTGTGTTCCAGCATCAACCCATACCTGTAATAAAACAAGACATCATTATTCCTTATTCAAGTTAACTCTCTTTGCAGAAGGAACACATAAATGATAACAGGACTAACAAATGGGGATGCAAGGGCGAGTTAGATATTTCTTTACTAATCCAGACGTCAAGAGTTTGATATCAAACAATAAAGCTGTGTTGTGTACGCCAAAGATCTATCGACAGTACAAAATGCCACTGTTCCGCCAAAATACCATCATAGCACATTTTATGGATTCATTGGGAGCAGAAGAGTAGAGAATAAAACTCAAATTATCTTCATTTTCATAAAATTGAATAATCGAGAAGACCCATTGAGCGTAATTAGGTCTTATAAACTTGGACAAACGTTGATGCTAAAAGGAGCTTTACAATATAAACATCATTGAGTCAATGATTAAACAATAACAATACCTGAGAATCTGCTAATCTGTCAATTTTAGGAGTAAGATAAAATAATACACCATCATAGGCACCATCCAATAGAGAATTTCTGATCAATAAAATCAACATAAAAATATAGGGTGAGGTAGCTGTTACATACATAACCTGAAATACAACACATGACAAGTAGAGGCACCCGAGGCATTGCCGGATCAGTTCAATAACCAGTCGTGGTATCATTTAAGTTATGAGATTCCACCATCAGTTACGTCACTACTAGAGGCAAAAAACCGTAGACGTCTGATTGAAAATTGGAGTGGTGCATATCGATGTTTCTTTTAGAAAACTTCTTTACAATCCCTTTAAAAATATGTACTCTGATTCAAGGGACTTCTGTTGAGGATTAACATGATGCTCTAGATTTGAAGGTACAATAACAAGCACAGTGACAAAATATCATTCATACACATACCTTTCCTGAAGATTTAATTCCTTTACAAATACAGGCATATACCACAATCCATGCAAATAATAAACACAGAGCTAAATCCCACTTAATAACTCCAACATCATCAATACCATCCGAGATAGCCAGAGTTTTATATCTAAAATAGAACAGGGATAGTCAGTTTTATATCTAAAATAGATCAGAGATAGCCAGTTGTATATCTAAAATAGAATAGGGATAGTCAGTTTTATATCTAAAATAGAACAGGGATAGTCAGTTTTATATATAAAATAGATCAGAGATAGTCAGTGTTTTATATTTAAAATAGATCAGAGATAGCCAGATTTTATATCTAGAATAGATCAGAGATAATCAGAGTTTTATATCTGAAATGGATCCGAGATAATCAGAGGTTTATATCTAAAACAGATCAGAGATAGCCAGAGTTTTATATCTAAAATAGATCAGAGATAGTCAGAGTGTTATATGTAAAATAGATCAAAGATAGTAAGAGTTTTATGCTTAAAATAGATCAAAGATAGCCAGAGTTTTATATCTAAAACAGATCAGAGATAGCCAGAGTCTTATATCTAGAATAGATCAGAGATAGCTAACAATATTTATATATTTATTATATCTATTACTTACTCCCAGAATTCTGTGACAGGATCAGAAAATTTATATGTACTATTTTCATAAATGGTCAAATTATATTTAGCTGCTGTATCGTTCACAGTTACATTGGATTTGAAATCATCATTACACCAGATTGTATTCCATTCATGTCCACAATAAGACCAGGGTAATTCAGCTTGGAATGAGTTAAACATGTAGTAGAAAGCCCAACATAAGATGACATTGTAATAACAATTGAGCAAGAAGACTATGATACAGCAAGCAATACCAATGCCTGGAAAAGAAATAATGATATGGTGCTAAATAACACTGTATAAACATATCGGAAGGGTGTTGTATTGCGTTAAAAGTAACTTAAACATTGAATAATAGGATTGGAATCAATCACTTATTACTTTGAAATACTCATTAAAGGTAGAGTGGATACATTACGTTCTATATTTGCGCTAGGATCCGTGCTTCGCCAATTACACCTACTAGCTTTCATAATTCTACAGAGTACTAACCTTGAAACAAAGGCACTATATTCCATGATTTGAGACCACCTCTTCCCATAAACTGACCAACTGCTACTTCCAAATAGAAGAGAGGAATTCCACCAATAAATACACAGATAAAATAAGGCAAAAGAAAGGCACCTAAAATAAAAGACAATAGTTGTAAGTGAGGAGGTTAGTTCAACAAGTCTTGGTAAACAAATTGTATCATGTCGAATAAACAACTTTAGAGACATGTTCAAGCGAAGAATGTCCAAGAAATCATTTTCGCCATCGTCTTTGGTTGTGATTGCTACTTTTGTCGATGTTCCTGAATCAAGCAAGACTAAGCTACAAAAACCGATGAAATCATTGCTAAATGTAACTAAATTATGACCGCGTTTAAAAATCTAATCGGAATTAGTAAATTCGCAAGAATAATCATGTCTCTTTGGTTATATTTCTGACAAAGTTGAGTCAAACTTGTTCAAGTTAGGATTTTGATGCCTCTGATCAAATCGCAATGTTTGTCAAAAACACTATTTTCCAATAAATTCATAGGAATCATTGACTTTATTCTAATTAAAAGGATGAAGAGCACCATTTATAAAGCATAGATCTGTATTCCATAGGCCCGTTGTTCAATCATTGTGAATGCGCTTAAAATTCGAGAATTTGATATAAGTTTCAATTGATTTTCAATTGGATATGTTAAATATATGGGGACAAAATTTTTTCACCAGTTGAATGCGAAGGTGTTTTTTTTTCTTGGTAAACATTGTGACATTTGTATAGCCTAATTATATATAATCTGAATATCTTGTCAATATTTTACTGATAGAATTTAATTAATAGAGACATCACGAAGAACACAAAACCAAAAACTATCAGCTATGATTGAATGGTCCAAAGACTACAGCGATGTCACTCCTTATGCACTAACTTAGAAGGTGAATGCGGTTATTAGACCATCTCGAACAAGTAAAAGTGGATGAAAAATTGATACGAAAATAAAATTAATTCATGCATAGCTACAGTTGTTTTCAAAAAGAAAGTTGAAGAAAGAAAGGTGGCAAAGAAAATCAAGTTATTTGAAAATAAAACATTTTGGTAACTTCTCTATATTCTGTTGGAAAATATCTTAAATGATACAAGATGTGCATATTTTTTACGAATTGGAAATTTTTACTTTGTGAGATTTTAGGCATTTTTATTAAATGATTTTTAGGCATGAAAACTTTCATGGTGACAATCACAGTTTATATTCCAGTTTGACACGAAAGTTTGGTATCCCACCTGCATCACCAGCAAATAAACAAACCGGATCTGACAATCCAAGAAAACTGATCGAATAGCATTTGGATTAGTGTTAAGCTTGAAGTGGAATTTCAATCTCGTTCAAATGATTTTTTTGCAATGTGCTTGATTATCGAACTAATTTAAATTGCAACATTGGAGTACAGTTACATACATCTCAGCAATTTCAACGTTTTAAGCGTATTAGACCCTGGTCATGTATGCACGGATAAATATCTCTGCATTATAGTGTTTAGCAGTCAATATACATCGAGTGTAAACAGTTTGAAAATGCCTCTTATTTCTGAGTAAACACTATTTATAAAAGAATATGATTTACAGATAACCTTTGATGAAATAAGTGGATTAAAAGTGTTTCGCTTCAGAAGATGTGAAGAAAAATGAACCTTATTTGACCGTTTTGTCCATGAATAAGGCGACCCTGAATAAATATTATCATATATAATATGCTGAACATAGCTCAGGTGTCTCTTTGGTAGTCAGAGTACTAGTGGCTACAGACTAATCGTGTCAAGACGACAACAGGTGTAGCTTAGTCTCCTAGAGCATTTCGAGCAAAGATTTATTAGGCGAAGTTTACATTATCCTTTGGCCTTATTCTTATCTCATTGCTGCAGTTTTTTCTCGATTGAATTTTCTATCAACTGATTCAAACTTATTGAGAAGATTTAGGAAATTTGTGCACGTCTCAATCAAGAGACAGTATTATAGATAGTATATGCGTAGTGTAGGAAGAATAATAGTTATATAAAACTGCTTGAAAAGGTTTTATCATGCATATCACAATAACTCGAATATTAATGTCATTATGATTAAAGAGATATAAAACCTTCTATATTATACATTTTACTTTACCAGTCGAACCATAGAAATTTAGACTGATACAGTATTGATGTCAACACAAACTAGTCAGTTTCAGACGATACCGATAGCACACGTCAAAAACTGTAACAGTCTCAACAGGACGTCGGATTTTAATTCTGAAAGCTAATGCGGGTATATTTAGCGCCATCGGTAAGAGCGTTAAAATTTTACGTCATTTCCTTGGCAACGTCGAATAAATGATGGTTGTGGGCTTTAATCTAGACCAGCGTGTTAAATTCTAGTGGCCTTGATTAAGTCATATTTAAACATTATTGTTGTCCATGTAAATTGTTGCTTCTTTTCTTTTTTTATAGACTTCTTTTTTTCTAAAAAAAATTATTTCTAATTGCACACACGAAGTTTGTGAGTACACAGTTGTCACTCACTACGCCTAGCTGACCTTCTGTTAAAAATTTTCTTGTTAGAATTGTTCCAAGACTGGCTTGTCAACAGACAAATGAAATTAAACGAAGCACCTAAATCTGCATCTTATCACGTTTTGTAGGTTGTTCACTCCTGACTAGTGTAACATTGTATTATATACATAGGTATATTATATGATTGCGTTTGTATTCCTAACATATAACAACTACTTTTATTATCTATTTTAATGCTAATCAAATTCAAGTCAACATTGATACTCTTTGTACTGTTTCTATGTACATTACCCTTATTATTTTCACACTTCTCTGTCAATTTAGTTAAGGGGACAACCAGGGATGACCTTTATAGCCTTTATTATTCATGTATATTATTAACGTTTTTTACACAGGACATCAATCATGAACATTTCATATCTTTTTATGACAAATACACATTATGGTATACAGCCGAGTCTTTCTCGACATATTTATAGACGCTTAGTTGACATGCTGCTCAATAAATAAACAATTTAACTATTCCTATTTTTGCTACTTTTCATTTAAAACGATTAAGCTTTATAGTGAGAGTTTCCACATATAAATATAATTAATAGCTGACAATTTATCTAATTAGATTGAAATAAAAGCATATAATGTAACACCTCGATAACGATGACGAACTGTGGAATAGCCCGAATTAGAGCATCAAGTTATAAAAAGACTGACAATGTGGACTTTTTTAGTGTCTAAAGCAGATTAAAAGTATAGATGTCAATTCGGCTTAAAATAAAAAAAACAGAATTTTTTCTATTTCTTTTTTCTAAAACTTGATAATTTTTAGCAAACATATTTCTGATAGTTTCGTATTACTCCGCGTAATAAGAGGTTATGAGCAAATTTTGTGTCTTGGCACATTTTATTCTAGATAAGACTGTCGTCTTTCAATTTAAGATATTTGTTATTATCTGGTGAGTCTGTCACTTTAAGTAGGACAATGTTGTTTTTTCCCACAACCTATTAACATATTACGCGAACTATATGAAAAAGTAATCCGATGACTCTTCACTTTACATTTTCTTTTTAGTAGTCTCATAAACAACATCATAAACCCCGATTCTGATTCAATCAATTCTACATTACCCACTTTGTTTAAGTTTTCAAAGGGACTTTTCACACGATATCACCCGATCTGCTAATTTGGGTCACTGGGTTCTTGATGATGTTGGCTGATACGATATAGGAGAATCAAGTTTCATAGTATTTTTCTAGATATATTTACCTTTTGCTTAAAGGTACTATATTTTGTATCTGGGAAAATTTTTGGATATAAAATCTGTCACGTTTGCTTGTAAACTCAATTGTTTATGGTTTCTGGCGTTAGTATGCTGTCGGGGTTGGTGAAATCTATGTAGGGATTGAATGTTCTGAAATTTCATATATTGGTCATTAAGTTACTTCCCTTGAATTTTCTGAATACGGCTTAAATTGATTATGATCCCGGTGGAACACGACTTAGTTGGGCTGTTGTAAGTGTACTTACGATCCCCATATTACCTTACTAGTTCCTAAATGTTTTCGTTTCCATACGCGTTCAAACATAGTTTTCTTGAGTTACGTCGTATTACCAGAGTGGTCAGACAACTAAAGACTCAAAGTTAACAAAACTGAACACGGTTGAAGCCGCGTCTACTACGTTGATAAGCAATGATAACCCATCGGACAAATATATATATTTTCATGGACGTATGTTACAATTGTTGCAGTGGCGGCGCCTGTGGATGTGCATTTCATTTCTAAGTTGAAAAGATGAAATAGGTTTTCATACGTTTTTCCCATACACCAAATAAATTCTATTTTGCAAAAATTTCTTGTAAAAGAACCCTCTCAGAGGTTTCCGCCGATGTTCTTCCAAAGTCAGTCTGCCTCTTATTTGTACCCCTAGTTTATGGAGGCTGGCTGATATCGCTGTCGTGTTGTACGATGTTGGGTGTGTTATGGAAAAACCAAGACAAGTGAAGCCTGAAGACATACAAGCAAAATATCAACATTACCAACGGGTGATAAATTATGGAAAACTTTGTAATTGCGCAACCGAATAGTAAAAATCATTTAATATTTGTTATATATTATGTTGACTCATATCTCGAGATGTATAACGGATATGCTGTTGATTAAATATAACAAACAACACCTAACTTTCTACAGGCGACGAAAATTATTTTTTCCTTTAAACATTTCCAAAGTATTTACAGCATATAGGTTACATCTGTGTCTATGTAGAAACCATTTGTGGAAGGTCATCTCGCTGTAAACGTTACTGTTCAGAACAGTTTGATTTTTTTCTAGTCACATTTCTGTGGTGTGTCCACAGAGCATCAATATTTAGATCATCAGTTATATTTCATATGGCTATATCACTTATAACCCAATTTTATTTGCCTCCAGTTATGGTCTTTTACATTTTTGATTTTTGAAAACCCAAGTATGCCGTGTCAATAATCCGGTTCGTATAGGCGATGTGTTACTCCTAAACTGAAATGAACGTATTTACTTATCTATTTGGCCTATTTTATATATCGAACCAGTTATAAATTATACAACTGAACAATGAAGCAATGTAAAGGCTCTTTTTCTTTCGGGCAGAGTTGACAACCCCGAGGACTATGTACTACTAAGATGAAAAGAGCAGTGCCGCAAAAGATATATAATATTGAAGATTCATCTTTTGGTGATATTCATCGTATAACCTCACATTCTTGTCCACTAAACGGATTGTACGGATTAAACTCCATATACCTCACAGTGGTGTTTCTACCGGTTGAAACGACGATGTTACCTCACCATACTAGGAGACAAATGAGTTCTTGTGACATTAAGAGTTGTGATATCTAGTAACCTTAACAATTATTATTCGGGGTTAAGCTGAAAATGGGTAAAAATTCCCATAAAAGTCATCAAGTATAACAATTATGGAGGATGAGAAGACTTAGCACATTCTTGTTTTCTAATAAATGATCCGTGATAAATGACCATTAAACCAGTAAAGCTAATAAAGGAATATTGGCAATATGAACCACTTTTAGCTTTAGCTGCAATAAAGAAAGAATAAACCGCCCATGTTTTTTTCAGACGCCAGATCATTGTTCTTAGGACCCACAGCCAATATGGGCTCTCCACTAAACTGAGCTGATGCTGGGCCGTGCTTATTTGGGCCCGACTTAAATCCTTAACGCAGGTCTTGCGTGTGTAAGAAAACATATATCCAAACTAAATGGTTGACCTTGGTTGAGAAAGTTCACCAATAAGTATTTACTTATAAGTAATTAGGGGGGCATGATCTGATAAATTGTCTCATCTAGACATGTTACTAATTGAGCTGAGGTTGTCATACGACACATTGCCGGTAAGAGTTGTTATGAAGGTCATGATAAACCTTTGTCATACATCATTCTCGCAGATCGATAACTCATGTTGATGTTAGTCACATTAAGTTATTTAAAGGGGCAGTATGCATAAGTTTTATTATTAAAAACAATGTAAATAAAACATGAAAATATTTCTAAAATATGTTATTTACTTCTATGTATAGACTTAATCAACAACAAAAATTTTCAAAAGGGATAATTAAAAACGGAGTGTACTAATTTTTAATTAAGGAGTTTGACCTAGGCTCGATATTTTTAGTTGAAAACTACAGAATAAATAGAATAAATATTTCTATACAATTTGGCGTTTACTTTGCTAAAGTTCGCACATTGGTTTACCATCAACATCTAAAATCACAGCGACGTTAAAATGTTTGACGCAAACCCTTTATTTTAACTAGTTTTGCCGTCAAACTTTCAGATAAGTCAAGGAACACCCTTCTCTAGATTTTGTGCATAGCTGTTAAAATTTGTGCAAAAATTTTTCAGACCTACGAAAAAACTCAGACTGCCCCTTTAAATATCTTGGCACTTTGATGTTTTGTTTTGTTGTACCTCTTTAACATCTTGCTATGTACATAAGTATACCTTTTATGATATATATGGACGACTTTCAACACAAAATATATCACCCATCCCACTAATGAGCTTTCGTGTGGGGAAGTTGGAAATCAAGTAAGTAAATCAAATTGTTTTTGTTGACTTGAGGTGCATTATATAGAAATATGTGTCCTTTATCTCAAACTTTGAATAGAAGTTAAAGAGTTGAACTATTAAAAAAACGTCGTCCAACGTTCACACGATAAATTAAAGATACTTGACAACCTTTCAATAAGGCTGGCCTCAGGGCGACGCATTATGACACTGACCATTCAATGAATACATGCATAAATAAAAGGATTGTAGTGAGCTGTTCTTTATTTGGTAATGAGAAAAAAAAACAATTCTTTCAAATGATTAAAGATTGACCCTCATTAGAACAAGTGAGAGCGTTTGCACCTATTGTCGTGTACTAGAACGTGATAATTGATGTTTTCTCGCGTCCGAAATCGATGGGGGTTACGTAAGAAATAAACTGTTCTATAATTGAACACAAGTATATAAGTAAAACTGATCGAATTTTTTGCATGATCCAACTTTGCTTGTTCAGTTCACAGACAAGATATACTATATTTTGTAAGTAAAGACAAGGGGAATGATGTTTTCAGATGCAATTGCTGTAAGCTTAGCGAGCGGCGAGGAACACGTTGTTATTCTTTGATAATGTGTTATATAGGCCTACTTGTGCATCATTCTTAAAACACAAACTGAAAATATGCATGAACAGTCTTGAAGACATTTGTTGTGTTTGTAATTAACTGACAGGAGATGAAACCTCGTGACCTTTGAGAGGTTATTGTGATATGCGCTATCTTGCGCAATGAGACATTTGTTTGGTATTTTACTGTTAAAATGTGATTTTCTTTGATTATATTTATGCAAAATTATGCAAAACGAAATTGTAGCTTGATAGAGTAAAATCACAAATTAACATAGTTCATACATGAGTGACTTTGAATAGTCTAGATATTTTCCAGTGTAAATTTAGAAGCCCCAAAACAAGTTTCTTAATATTTTGTTGTTTGTGATCGACCAGTTGAGAAGATAAATAGTCCCGATCGATAGAGATCATAGACAGCATTAGTCAAGACATATGGGCGTTTACCACTCCTGAACATAATACTCAGTAACACTGTGGAACGATTGCGTTTACAGTAAATCGCCCAATGACTACTGAAAATGTTTTTGTTGGTAATGGTGTTGAATATACATATTATCATTATCTAATTAATATTTAGTATGCTCAAGCACGAAGCACATGATTCAAGTTACAATTTGCCTTTCATATTTTGATAATATCCTTCTTATTCAATGTGTTTACATACCTCTGGGTCATTGAAAATTGCATTTTATTTTGTCTAATATTGTGTCTTTCCCACAGAAATGAATCTAGTTCAGCTTTGCACCCCTCCCTCTAACCCCTTCGTAGTTTTAAATGTTCTTAAATATCTGATATTGTGAGCCCCCTTCTAATTCTGTGACATCTACTCGGCCTCTCAATCTCCTGATTCACAGAAATGCCTAGAGTCCTTGCAGTCCATGAGCCCGTGTTTGTCCGATCTGGTATGGAGCTTAACCCATTGTACAATGAGGTTCCAGGAGTGAACAAAACCATATGCTTTGCTTTCGATAACTAGCAAAGGACTATTCTTACTTATATTAATTCCACTAATCTATTCTAAATCTATAACTTTTCACTTACCTCCACCATTTTTGTAACACAGATAGGGAAATCTCCAAACATTTCCTAAACCAACACTAAATCCAATACAAGCTAATAAAAAATCCAATTTATTAGTCCATGTTTCACGTTTAAATTCATCTTCTGATCCGTCAGGCGGTGCCGCCAGGGCCATAGGATGTTTCTTTGGGGCGTCCTCGTCTGCCATGTTGAAAGATGTTGCTTCTTGCTGTCAAACGACGTCCTGTGACATCCAACTACTGTCAACTGGTAAATAGTAATTCATAGAGACCGCTCGTTACAGATGATTTACCATGTATCCATTGAAAAACAGGTCTTGGTTATTTCTCATATACACAACTTAAAGAGTGTCAATTTAAGCTCCGCCTCTAAATTCTAATTACTGGTCTGAATTAATTTATCATAGAGATTTTTGTTCTATTAAATTGTTATCCTAAGATTTTTTTTAACATTGATCACCTTGAATATATAATTTACATACTTGTCAATTACTGGGCTCAAGTTTCTATTGAGAATATTGAAACTGGAGAAAAGATGTACATATACTGTATATAAATACCAATGATAATTTGTAAAGCAGGTTTTACAGTGCATGTGCGCTTATGATACACTGCATGATATTCCTTTCAAAGAGATCATCTATTAATGTCATGTTATTTACTTACTCATAATTTTAGGCGTAAGGCCTTGGGGTGGATGTTATAAATTTTAATTTTGTACTGCACCCTTAAAAACTTCAGTCTCACTTTAATGAACATAAAAAGAACTTTCGTTGGTATACATCATTGTATTACACTGTATTTATTTCTTGAGATATGCAAATATAATGTACTTCAAGTGATATCATTATTTTACTTTTTAGCTTTACGACACTCTTTTAGAAAATCCATCACGCCTGATGATTAATTTCAACAAATATGACAGATTTGACGTATTTTCAGACACTATTCCGATTTGAGCCTATTACTTCTCAGAACAGCTTTACCGGGCTGTAGCTTTATATTGAAAATCGCTTCAAATTTGTAATTAGGAGTTTTAATTTCTCTTCTCTGTTCTGCTATGGATACGATTTTACCCAAGCCAGACCATACCTTAGACCATACCTTTGTACAGAATCGATAGCTAAACCACTCTACAAGTCTTATTATGCAGAAGAACAGCAGTGTCAGGTTGGTTAAAGTGTGTTGCTTTAGGTTGTTATATAAGTTTACATGTACTTCAAGATGAAATGCGGGCTCACTCAGAGCGTGACTGTTTGTTCTTAAAGTCACGTAAACCACTTTTCGAATCATTATTACCTTAACCATTGCTCTGAAGGTTATCACAATAACAGTTGATGATATTCTCCAATGGGCATTTGTCTAGTATGTGAACTCGACTATTTAAGCTGAGCTGTTTCAATTTGCCAATTTCTTAGTATAAATATTTGAAACCGGGTAAAGAGACAAGTTTCTGGCTATGCAGGAACCGTTGGTAAAAAAACGCAGAAAAGGCAAAATTTCATCATAAATTAACGGAGACGTAACGAGGTGTTGTAGATTTTAACAGGAGCATAAGCTAGGTATTCAGCTATAATCACAGAGAATCCCAAAATGTTTGAAATCAGTTGAAATCAGTTATACTTTTGTAAATTTCGCTGTTTTAATGTTGATTAGTAGCTATCGACTGACATGGTTTTGTCCGTTTATCTAAGAGCATATTGAGACAATTTCCAAGCTCATATCGAAATGTTGAGACAAATGCCACAAAAAGTAAAAGTTTTTACATCATATGATATGCAGCAAGTTGGCAAAAAGCCGGTCGGAGACACAGTTCATATGTTAAGATATAGTTTATCTTTCCAAATATCTATTTTAGGTCGTGACTCAGGGCTTGTAGATAACCGTCAAAACAGTTAAACGAGAATCTAGTGTCAAGTTGAACTATAAAACAGTAGGTCTTGCGATCCTGTTAAGTAGTCCGTATCGAGATGAACATTAAGTTAACCACTTTTAGTTCATTCAGCCATTCTACAATATAACCTTATCAAGAGATCATTTTAATTAAATATTTCTCTTATCCTTTCTTCTGTTGTGTTTTGAAGAATGGTAAATAAGTTTTGTGATTTTTTGTTGATGTAAAATTTAAACTATTAAAAATAAGTGAGTTATTTAAATTTTGAAATCTTAATTAATGCAATACCTTCATGAAATCCTATATCAAGGGTGTAATTTTTAGGGAGTGAACTCATGGAATAAAATAAATCTATGGACATTATAATCCTGTAACGCTCAAAACCCAAAATATATAGGATCACACAGGGATATCATAGATCATAATCATTATGGTCATTATGTCTTCATAGATTCATTAATGGGTCATGGTTCTTTTGTTTACCCATACGCAATCTATAGGGCACAAGAATGGCAAGACTTTTTCAAATCAGCCTCTGTGATTTTTGCATCGGTTCCAGGAGAAACCGGCATCGAACCTCATACTGCAAGACTAGCGAGTAGGGTTTTAACCTGCTGAGCCATTTAAATTTTAGTTTCTCAATTGAGATCTCTCTCAGCCTGAGAGAGTTCAAACCCCGGATTTCCAGGTAAGTGAGCAAGTGACTTAACTAACAGATGTGTCATGCAAGGTGCGTGCAAGGCAATGACTTGACTTGATGACCTATGTCGGTTTGAGCACGAGGGAAAAATCGTCAAACAATTTATATAAAAGGTGTTTTAACTCTGAAAATGTATTGAAATCTTATCTCGAGGATGAAACATTTGATTATGTATTACATTTAAAATATGATAATTGTATTACATAATAGTAGCGTATTATTTCTCATACCTTTGCAGTTAACAATCCCATCAGATACGATTTTACAGTTTTCTACAGTTAGTATCAAACCTTCCCGTTTCACACAAAAGCAAGAATTGCGAAAATTATAATTAGGGTTCATCTCCCCTTGTCACCGTGGAGTAAATGTGAATTGACATTGGTCAACGAATGTCATTCGAGGAGCAAGGTTGACAATTTTGATAGGACATCGACAGTAACCAACTCTCTTCCAATTTTTGTCTATTAACCAGTAAGCAACCTATTGAATCAGAGAACGACTAGACTTCTATTTCAAATCAGCTGCTTTGATCTGGATCTCCGTCTTCATTAGCCCACATGGTGCAGAAAAGTAGGACGAAAATTTTCTGATCTGCAGCAGTGCCAGGTTAAACCTCGTACTGTAAGTTTTCCTAGCAGCGGCTAACACGTTGAGCCGACTGTGACTCCTCTATTAGAGCTTTATCTCTATCTTGAAAAGAATTTAAACCATTGAATTCAAGAAAATCAAGCGTTATGAAGGCCGTCTCTTTAACTTGTTGACCCATGTCAATTTAAGCATGAGGGAAAAATACATCGGTACATAATTTACATAAAAGGTGTTTGGCCTTGAAATAGGTTCGGATAAGTATAAATAACTCAAGCTTAAAGCTAGTATGCTTTTTGTTATGTAAATAAAATAAATATTTTGTATCAATGACCGAGACCTGTTTGAACTAAAAAAAAAATATTGTTTTGCTTGTTTAGATATGAATTATAGCGTCATACTAAATATAGGTGTCTGACATATATTTCTGATTTTTAAAGGGAACAAATATAAATATAATATATATTTTTCTCAAAATATGGTCATTTTGCTCTATATTACATCCCTGTTCGACATAGGTGGTTATTGTCATGTAAGAAAACCATGAATATTAAGAAGTCACTTTTACGTCAAATGTTTTTTATACGCCCACATGAAATGGGGGCGTATATTGCCGTCACCCATGTCCGTCTGTCCGTCGGTCCGTCCGTCCGTCCGTCCGTTCGTCCACAATTGCTCGTAAACACTCTACAAGGCACAATTCTTGACTGATTTCGACGAAACTTGGTATAGTTTTTTGAAAATCAGAAAAATCGAAAAATATATAGTATGAGTTATTGCCCTTGTTCTTGTAACTCTCGTTAACACTCTAGAAAGTGCAATTCATGACGGATTATGATGAAACGTGTGAGTGTTTTTTTTTTTTTACCCAAGGATGAACCATATTTAAAATCAAAAAGATCGAAAAATAATTAGTATGAGTTATTGCCCTTTTTCTTGAAAACGCGTTCAATTTTTAGTTCGTAAACACTCTTGAAGGCACAATTCTTGATGGATTTTAACGAAACTTGGCTTGAGTGTTTGTTATCAACCAAGGATAAAGCCTATTGAAAATCAGAAAAATCAGAATTCAATTTATAGCTCGTAAAAACTCTAGAATGCATGATTCTTGCTGGATTTTGACAAAACTTTTATTATTCAATACCGCGCTGAAGATGGAATATGACCACGGTTTCAAGAACAAGGGCAATAACTCATACTCGATAATATTCAGTATCGCCCTAAATAGTTCAAAAGAAGTGTATGACTGAAGTTTGAATATTTCATACTGTTGATTGTTACTGTACTGCGAAATATTTTATTCAAAACCAAAGCTGCCAGTGGACGTATATTAACTTGCCTGGCAGGCTATCTTTTTTTTTGCAAAAAACAAAATCGAGTCAGTAACAGTAATCATATACATATACATCAGATGGCAAATGAGTTTACATCTATTATTCACAAACATAAAAGAACATCTACCTAATTCATTTAATACAGATAACAAATCATCAATACGGTCTATATGGGCACTTCAATTACATTAGTTTTCTTTTTACTGAACCCATATGCAGAATGACTTCAGTCTTGTCCAAAAAGTACATAATACATAATTATATTTCAGGGAAGGGAGAGTTTGATTCTCCCAAGTATACAGGCCTAGGGTCTAGCAGACACTTTATTTAGAAATTGGGATTAAAGTTCTTGATATTGGGTTTTCTTCTGTTCTGATTCTGATCTGAAATTAGAAAATATAACGAGAAGTATAGTATGTGTTATGTACTGATTGTTTTTAGTTTACTATGAACAATATTATCATTTAAGTTCTTATTTTTTGAATATGCAACTATCATTTTCTGCTTATAGACATGGGGGAATTTCTCTTGAAGGCTCTTATAGTGGGCATGAACTTTCTTGCTTGCCCGATTGCTGATTGTATTGAACGGGATAACAAAGGGTGCTATCTCTACATTATGGTGAATATTTAGTCCTATAGGTCTTACTGTATTCAATTTCTCAATCCAATGGGCTTCTGGTCTCTGGTTCTACTTTTTAAAGTCTTAAATCACTCAATCAGTGTCAGTTGATCCGAAAAGAACCATTGCCGTTAGTATCAGGAAATGTTCAATTAAATAACTACCAAGTTTCATTGTTGTGACAACTCTTTTTAAGTCAGAACTTTGCATTTGAATCCGTTCACATGGATTCTTTTCAGCACTGTGTGTCTTTTCTGTTACATAGAATATATACCTTTATAACATTACAACAATAAAATATTCTTCAATACATGTATTCTCTTTAAACAAACTTTCCGGGGTTGTTTTGAGAGTAGATACGAGAATAAGTTCTACCTGTCGAACTTCAGCTGGTCAGTTGTCTGAGGATCGCATATCGTGAAACGTTTTAATATTTCTATATTACTTTATTTGGTTGTCTTATAGATCTAATAAGGGGAAAATAAACAATAAAAACTTTGCACTATTATGAAGCGAATGCATTGCATTGAATTAAATTTACCAGACATATAACGATTGCACAATGTGTACTAACTAAAATAGTCACAATGACTAAAACCCTATTGTAACCGGAGGGATTAAAACTATTCCATTCAAAGACGTTTAAGGGGCGTGTTTAAAGTTTTTTTCGGATGTCTGTCATATAAATAATAAAGATATTTTATCATGAGACATTTCGTTTGATTTCCAAACTACGAACGGGTATAAAGTAACCCCTAGCAGTATTGTCTAACCATTGGGTTCAAACAGTAGGTGACTCAAGATGACCGACGATAACCCTCCTAAGAAGCATTCTATGGCAGTTGAGGCTCCACCAGATGGATCAGAAGAAGAATTTAAACGTGAAACATGGACTAATAAATTGGATTTTTTATTAGCTTGTATTGGATTTAGTGTTGGTTTAGGAAATGTTTGGAGATTTCCCTATCTGTGTTACAAAAATGGTGGAGGTAAGTGGCAGCATAGGCCTACTGCACAATTGGCATTTTGACGACATGTATTACGATTTCCGTCTTCATTAGCCCGAACTGTGCAGAAAAGTAGGACGTAAAACTCCATTCATTTCATTTCATGTATTGCGATTTACAGTTTGTCAAACACATCTTGAGCAAAGAGGGTAACAGCATGCGAAGAGATGTATTTCTATATATGCCATCATTTGAAAGATTAAAAATATCTCAAATTCCATGGAATTAGTTGATCAAGGCCAGACAAAATAAAGAATACTTTTGATTCCGGTGGTTATTGTTTTCAAGGGCATATATGTATTCATCGGGAACGGGTGGGTTTGACATTATTCATTACAAATTAACAATGGATATTTTACTATGTGAATTCTGACATACATTTCTATGTGCTTTACAAAGTGTTGAAACTGCATACTTCCTGTTTGATTTATTGTCGGTTTACTTTTCACCAGTTCTATCCTATATACAATCGACATGAAATTAAATTGGGTTTTTATGTCCAAAATTTATTATAATTGGTCAAATAAAGACCGATAATACCATGCAGTGTGTAATATAATTTGACGAAAACACGCATTGCTTCCATTCGATTTCAGATTGACAAGGGATATATTTTCACATGCAGTCTGTATTACAATTGCCTACACCAACGACAAAACGTCTTTAACATGTCATCCCGTGCGACCTCTATGATTAGAGAAGGTTGAACTGAGTAAAAATGCGAAAATCTACATCGGGTTCGAATCTTTGACGACAAGATTAGTGAGCTCACACTTCGGTTAAAAACCTATATCGTTTTGTGGTTTGTTGATTGACTTAATAAACTAATTTAAAATTCACATAGTTAGGTCTAAGGTATTAATGATAACGAGTATATTCTTAACAATATATTTGTTTTTTAAAATGGCGTATGTAATGCATGGTTGCGAAATATAGGTAACTTTCCACTCATTACTATGCGGGTATAGCCCACGGCTATGTTATAATTATTGATAAGTGTCATTCATTTGATGATATTAAAAAGTATTATTGCAACTTTTACATAGAAAGTAGTGCAACAATTTTTGGACAAGTTAAGGGATATTGTCAGCTAAATTTTTTCAATTTAAAGTTACCTTAAAAGAGTAGAACATGGAACTCGGAATCATTTCAACTTGTTTAAAGTTGCAAGTTTTTCATTTTTTTTAAGCAGAAAAGACCAAAATTTGGGGTTTATGTGCTTGAAAAATTGGCAGATTATATTTTAATTTATGATATTAAAGGTCATCAATGTGTATAACATCCAAAGCGTTATCATCCATAATAATCTAGTTCAGAAGTATTGAAGGAAAGTCTAGTCTATAGCAAGTTGTTACTTGTAAAAACATATGTATATAAAAGTATATTTGTTCATCATTTTAAAGGCTCTTGTAGTCCATTTTCTTTTAAAGCCTTATTAAAATGTGATAGGCGTTTTCGTGTCCTCAAGTAACGGTTTTATTTATTTATCCTGAGTCGTTTTTCTTTAATGGAAATAATATAAGATCATCAAAATGTGTCAAGGCCCGACAACAAAATGACGTGATCAGAAATTTTCCCCTATGTCAAATTTGGGGATTTGTGATATTACAATTTTCCAGCATGCGTATCATTTTAAAATACAATTGAATAGTTCACGGAGATTATGCACTGTCCACCCATGAAAATTCTGTTTGATTTAAGCATTTTGTTAACAATTCAAGATGTGATGAGCTTTGCTTTAGAAAGTGTGATCATTTGGTCAATTCTGCTTCACATATATTTGATATTCATCCCTTTTCAATAAGATTTCCAATGGTTCAACTTACTTTGAGGTACATGTACGATGTATGAAAGACAAAAGATTCTTTAAAAGTGATGCAGGTCGGAGGAGCTGCTATGAAAAAGCGTCTTGCGTCAGATTATACAATACACATGCAAATTTGTTTCATTACACACAGCCATATCAGTTGCAGAAAAACAGGACTTAAGACAACATATCATTTCAATCCAGACACATTCGTTTATCATTTACTGCTTGATGAACAAATATCTACTGTAAGGGAGATAATTAGACTAAAGACCGAGAACATTGAGTCGTGATATTGGAAGCTAGATATCGTTGATCGGTGTTTTCCCACGTCGCCCTTCCCAATTCGCCTCTAAGTTATTCTCTTTTCGCCCCTTCTCCGTTTCGCCCATTTACCACGTCGCCATTACTATTTTTCCCTTTCCATATTTCGCTCCCTTCACAATTTTCTCCTTTCCCAGCTCATCCCTTACCAATTTTGCCTCTTACCACTTTTTATGCTTGTTCCGATTTTAAGTCCGATGTTGTGTGCAATTTTGTACTGGAGTAGTTGGAATTTGATAAAGAGTAAGCTGAAATGTCGCTGTCTAGGCCTAAATTTCCAAAACACAAACGAAATTAGGAATTGTAATCTATAGCTGCCTACGACTTTTTCAAATTTTTCATATATCAATTGAATTGCAATTCTTTTTCTGTATTCAATTTACCTGTCCAATCACTTTGTAGATTTAATGGTAAAATGGGAAAATGGCTAATTGGGAAAGGGGCGAACTGGGAAAAAGGCGAAATAGGAATAAGGGGCAATATGGGAAAGGGGCAATATGGGACAGGGGCGAAACTGGAAATGGGCAAATCAAAAAAGGAACGAATAGGGAAAGGAAATGGGAATAAATGGGGTTGGGGTGATATGAGAATAAAGGGTCTTGATAACATGGAATTTGTAGAATAAAAATGCATTCTGATATGACGAAGACATTAAGGTTGTCATTATGCTTCATGCATTTCTTTCTAGAACCAAATTTCGATTGATCCAAATCAAAACCAAAGAACGAGTGCGTATGCGTTTATTTGAAAAACTGAACCACGCTTTTTGATATCTGTGCCATACAATTCAATACTTGTGTGAACTGTGCTTTAAATATGCCCAACTTATTCAAATATAGAAATAGAATAGCTCAAAAGTGAGGATCAATCTACAGTTTTAGCAAATATAGCATGTAATGTGATCTTTATCCTGATTAGAAATTAATATAACTTTACAAAATATATATACATACGTGTAATCTATCTAATACAGAATAAATATGCTTGACATAATGCTCGTTCATACTAAACACATACTTACTTGAATAAACGCCTCGTTACAAAATGTAAATTGTGCGTTAGTGGATTAGAAGTTTACATGACTTGTTGGAAATAAATCAATATCTATATATTTTATGTATTGCATATTCCTTTGACGATTTGTTTTGTAATACATGATCACAAAAACGAAATTCGCGTACACTACAGGAGTATACGATGTCTTTGATTTGCAAACGTAGGCTCTCTCCCTTCAATGAATAGGTCGAGATGATCCCTTCCAATGAGGAGACAAACGCTGATGTACATTAGCCCTAACTGAAGCTGTAAAGTTGGACGTTTTTTATCCCGTCAAACAACTAAAAAACTAAATTATTTTCAAACTTCCTATTTCAGGTGCCTTTCTCTTGCCTTATTTTATATGCGTAGCAATAGGAGGAATTCCGCTGTTCTTCCTGGAAGTAACTGCCGGACAGTTCATGGGCAAAGGTGGTCTTAAAACATGGAACCTGGTTCCACTTTTTCAAGGTCAGTATAATCTACTGATGATAGCAGATGTTCTTAAAGTTAAATAATAACTTAAAGTATCCAAAGACTTGAGAATGTTCCATAATGCAATGCATCATTCGTTATCTCTAACTTATCAGAAATTTCTGAAAAATCGGGGTGGTTCAACAAGAAGCTGTTCTTGATAAATATAAACAAAAACAATATTGCCCAGCTATCATATTGAGATAAGACAAATACAAATGATCATAACTGGTTTTGTTCTTTCAATTTAGGCATTGGTATCACAACTTGCATCATCATGTTCCTGGTCAATTGTTATTACAATGTCATCTTATGTTGGGCTTTCTACTACATGTTTAACTCATTTCAAGCTGAATTACCCTGGTCTTATTGTGGACATGAATGGAATACAATCTGGTGTAATGATGATTTTAAATCCAATGTAACTGTCAACGATACAGCAGCTAAATATAATTTGACCATTTATGAAAATAGTACATATAAATTTTCTGATCCTGTCACAGAATTCTGGGAGTAAGTAATAAATGATAATAATGATATAACTAATAATAAATAGTCAATCATTAGCTATGTGGATTCTAGGAAAGGAATGTGGTGACGTAGGTGTTTCGAATTAGTGAACAAGCCCTGCACCCAGGTAGCACACTTGCCCTGGTCTATATTTAGATATAAAACACTGACTATCTCTGATCTATTTTAGATATAAAACACTGACTATCTCTGATCTAATTTAGATTTAAAACTCTGGCTATCTCTAATCTATTTTTAGATATACAACTGACTATCTCTGATCTATTTTAGATATAAAACTGACTATCTCTGATCTATTTTAGATATAAAACTGACTATCTCTGATCTATTTTAGATATAAAACACTGACTATCTCTGATCTATTTTAGATATAAAACTATGACTATGATCTATTTTAAATATAAAACTGTTCTATTTTAAATATAAAACAGGCGATCCCTGTTCTATTTTAGATATAAAATAAATTCTGACTATCTTTGGTATAAAACCCTGGCTATCTCTGATCTTTTTTAGATATAAAACTCTGACTATCTATGATCTATTTTAAATATAAAACTGGCGATCCCTGTTCTATTTTAAATATAAAACTGGCGATCCCTGTTCTATTGTAGATATAAAATAAATTCTGACTATCTTTGATCTATTCTAGGTATAAAACCCGGGCTATCTCTGATCTATTTCAGATATAAAATTCTGGCTATCTCTGATCTTAGATATAAAACTCTGAATAAATCTTATTTATTTTAGATATAAAACTGACTATCTCTGATCTATTTTAGATATAAAACTGACTATCTCTGATCTATTTTAGATATAAAACACTGACTATCTCTGATCTATTTTAGATATAAAACTCTGGCTATCTCTGATCTATTTTAGATATAAAACTCTGACTATCTATGATCTATTTTAAATATAAAACTGTTCTATTTTAAATATAAAACAGGCGATCCCTGTTCTATTTTGGATATAAAATAAATTCTGACTATCTTTGATCTATTCTAGGTATAAAACCCTGGCTATCTCTGATCTATTTCAGATATAAAATTCTGGCTATCTCTGATCTTTTTTAGATATAAAACTCTGAATATCTCTTATTTATTTTAGATATAAAACTGACTATCCCTGTTCTATTTTAGATATAAAACTCTGGCTATCTCGGATGGTATTGATGATGTTGGAGTTATTAAGTGGGATTTAGCCCTGTGTTTATTATTTGCATGGATTGTGGTGTATGCCTGTATTTGTAAAGGAATTAAATCTTCAGGAAAGGTAATCAAAAGTACTTCATGATTTTGATATATAGGAAGCTCTTTACCCTGGTCATCAAAGACTCTTTCTGTGGCCAAGGCTACTCAATCTTATGAATCTCCCACTCTCATTAGTATTGTTCAATTCCTATAACTCAATGCTATGTCCGAGTGGAAACCAAAGAACATGCTGGATTGCTTTCAAAATCATTGAAGACATATTTAATTTATTAAAAAAAAACACTTGCGCAAATTTGGAGTGTACAGAAAATTAATGCCTAAGTCATACGGCGATCTTCTGATTTGCCGAGTTTAATATGAGCATTAGGCATACGAAACGTTCGACAATTTGCAGCAATTAATAATTTTTGTCGACCTGCCGTTCTATCCGCCATACTGGATCGGAAGATCTCATACGTCGAACATTTTGTCTATCGAGTTTATACTAATGATATTACAATCATTCCTTAATAATTTCTTCACTGCGCATGTGTTCTACGCCATTTTATCTTAAGCCAGCACGTTGGCTGAAAGTAGAGGAAGACTAGCTTGTTTTGTTGCAAATTGATTTAAAATAGTTGCCATAGTATATGATTGCATATGATCAAATACGATGACACTTATTGTGTGAGCAATTTATTGACGTGAAACCTAATTTGGTAATTTGTCCTTTAGTATGATTATTATAGATCTCTTTGACAATCTGAAAGTTTTCTTGATCGTTGTAAAATCAAAACCCTCGTGTTAGTGTTGATTGTTGTTGTAAATATTTATTTCGGCATTACCCCCATTTGCCATTTAAATCAACTGTCGGTCTGAATTTATTTATTCGACACGCCAGAAAATCGACGTATGAACTTGGCCTAGGATGTTTTGTTATAACACACAAGTGAAATACCATTTTTAAAACGTGATGCGATTCAAGGGTGGTAACTCTTTATAAAATTCACTATGTTTGAAGGTTTTTGCACTTAATTTATATTGTTGATACAATTGATATATTTAGTCTAATGGTGGTGAAGATTTAGACTGTTTACGACCATTGGTTCAACTGACTAGATGTGTGGGGCCCGTGGACTAACGTAGGTTAGGGCAATGCTCTCGTGTATTCTGAGACCCCTCAATTTAATACCTGTTAATATCTTTTTCTATGGGTGGGGAAAACCTTATGAAGTGATAGTGAACCACTGATTACGATGTAGTTTCGATTTACCCAGATATTTTTACGTAAATGATACATTATAATTATGTTATTTCAGGTTATGTATGTAACAGCTACCTCACCCTATATTTTTATGTTGATTTTATTGATCAGAAATTCTCTATTGGATGGTGCCTATGAAGGTGTATTATTTTATCTTACACCTGATATGGAGAGGTTAGGTGATATTCAGGTAAATGTTTGAATTCTTATTCTATAAATAACATTTCATGGATTGGAAGATTTGGAAAAGTGACATATCCCCGAGACCCCGAGACAGGTTTATTAAAACTGAATTGAAGTAAAAAAAATTTAAAAGTTACGAAACACCATGGCCCATAAAAGAGTTCATTTTGCTCTTGGAAGAATTCATTTTGCACATGAAAGAGTGTATGTTTATTACAGGTATGGGTTGATGCTGGAACACAGATTTTCTTTTCTTATTCTATTAGTTTAGGTAGTTTAACAGCATTAGGAAGTTATAACAAGTTCAATCATAATTCATACAGGTAATTTGTTTGATTACCTGTTCAAAAAATAACAAATAACTTTCGATACATTTCCTGGCATCATAAGTTACATGATTGGCATGAGCTTGTGGGTAGTAAATCGCAAGTTAACGTCTGATTTCAGCAAATACTCATATCGCATACCATTGGCATGAGTAGATCTACTTGGACAACCTTGTATGAAGAACATTATTACCTTTAATCTAGTTTCTTTTAATATTACCTCGAAGCGTCACCAATTATAATATTTCAATTATTACTCTACTTCCATTACAGTCAAATTGCAGCACTAACACGTTTATATTTATTCCTACGTATATTTCAGAGATGCGATTCTGTTCTCAATAGCTAACAGTGGTACCAGTTTCTTTGCTGGCTTTATAGTGTTCACAATTTTAGGTTATATGTCTGTTACTCAAGGTATTCCTATAAAAGATGTAGCTGAATCAGGTATGTTCTGTATGGACAACCTCTTATTATGAAGGGTTTATGTCGCTGATTTTTGTCGCAGCGTATAGAGTCTCGTTAAAAGTTTCACTAACCGGCTGCGGGCACACGAGTAGACAGGAAATCTTCAGTCGGTTGTTTTCCCTTATGTCGGTAATCATGCAATGATCATGCAATTGAAATGAAAGTGATTGAAAGATGACGCTCTTGTCGTGAGTGCCACACGAAGCAAACAAATATTGGTTCGATTGTATAAATCTCGTCGGCAACGCGATAATCTTGTGGAAGCAGGGACGCACATGAGATTTTACACAAGATTCGGCGACAATGTGTTTTTATCATATTGTGTATGAATGTGGTGGACACAGAGATAATATGCTTGATTTTGCGACGGTTCAGATCGGATTGAAAAAAAAAATGTTCATCTGCATTAGATTTTATCAGCTATATCTGCCGACAAGAGCGAGAATACAGTGACAGTCTGCTAGGAGAGAAAAATACCACAATCCGCTTGCTCCTGCTGCCGTTACAGTTTCACACTGGCCTCAATTCATTGGACAATTAGCTGCGCTAACTGATCTAAAATGTATGAAAAATTTATTCAAATTTGTATTTTCAGGACCCGGTTTAGCTTTTATTGCTTACCCTAAAGCTGTAGCTCAAATGCCGATATCTCCATTGTGGTCTATATTATTCTTTTTGATGTTGATTCTACTCGGTTTGGACAGTCAGGTATATTTTATTATGTAAATTTATTTGCATTATTGGTTGTTTTTGTAATTAAAAGAAAAGTTATTTCTCATATTAAGTTGAAGCTTAGATTTCTGAGAGACCTCTAGGTTCAACGGTATAATTTATATTTTTTTTTTTGGCTTTTTGATTCTGTTCAGAACTTTGATCATATTTCAAATGAAAAAGATGAGGATCATACGATCATATAAGGGTCATTCATTTTTTTTTCTTGAATTTTCAAGTTAGTAACTTGAATCTTCAAGTTAATTACTTGAATTTTCAAGTTAGTAACTTGAATTTTTAAGTTAGTATCTTGAATTTTTAAGCTAGTATCTTGAATTTACAAGTTAGTATCTTGAAATTTCAAGCTAGTATGTTGAATTTTCAAGTTAATATGTTGAATTTTCAAGTTGAATTCTTATCTTAAGATAGTTTGTGATTCAGAAAAATCTTAACACGAGTTTTGGAAACATGATGCACAAAGGTAGTATTTTACAAGATTTTGAACTTGCGTCTTATTTTCTAGTTTGTTGGTGTTGAAGGTGTCGTAACAGCTATAGTGGATCAGTATCCTAGCTATTTAAGAGTTGGATACAGAAAGGAACTATTTATTCTGTGTATTTGTATCAGTAACTTCTTCATAGGTTTATCTATGGTTACTAATGTAAGTCTTTGATATTTTCATTTCAATTTGAAATTTGTACGTGCCTTGTAAGTACCAAGCGATTAGAAATCGAATGGATAATACCCTATCAAATTACTCAGATAACAATCAGTCCTATTTCGTCCTTAATTTCCGCAAACTGCAAGATGATGATTTCCATACCCACCATGAATTAAGATGGAAATGAATCACAAAGTGGGAGTAACTTATTCCTGTCAAGTGCAGAAAAGGAATTATCCGAATCGTCCTTTCATCGCGGTATCTGTCTCTTGTATTTCAGGGAGGGATGTATGTTTTCCAATTGTTTGATTATTATGCGAGTAGTAGAGTTGTTTTACTGGTAGCTTTCTTTGAGTTAATAGCTATAGGATGGTTTTACGGTAAGCCTATGGAGGATTTTTTGTATGCGTTTGTTGACCTGTTCCTATTGATCACCAGTGATCCCACCTCAAGTGGCATGAATTTAGAGTACATGCCGTCTTTTGGACGATCAGGAAAATACATTTAACAATCATCATCGACATCAGTACGTTACTTTACAAAACAGCAATCACCGATTGAAATTGTGAATCCTGAACCTATTCAAACCAACAATTTACGTCTATTTCCAGGTGTAAATAGATTCTATGATAATATAGAAATGATGTTAGGAAGAAGAATCATGCCTTACATGAAAATCTGCTGGGTTGCATTATCACCATTGTTCTGCATAGTAAGTTGTCCTCTATTACAATCCGCCTTAATATTTACCTTACGATCAGATAAAAATGAAAATCTTATTGAAGTGATTGCCAGTATTGCCCATAGATTTTGATCTGAGCAAGCAAAAGTTTGAAAACTGATCCAATCATCATTATCGAATCGTTATTTGATCAACTAGCAGATCCATTTTCATTAAATAATTTCATTTGTCGGCAATGGAGGTCCTATTATTTAGGTTTTGATTCTATTACGACTAATGTAACGAGATGTAAAACAGACATCGCCTAACTCTGAACTGTAATTGTATTTTTGACTGTTTCCTAAGATATCTGTCTTATGTTCTACAAATATTTTGTCTGTTCTAGATTGTATTTATTTTGAGTACCATCAACTATTCTGAATTAACATATGAACGCCCATCTACAATCTACAAATATCCTAATTGGGCTGTTGGTGTTGGTTGGGCTATGGCTTGTTCATCTATTGTTTTCATACCTATTGCGGCAATTTATAAATTTGTCAAATACGGCTTCACCTTACAGGTAATATTTGTTTTTTCAATAGTCTTTAAATGGACGAGATGTCATAGTATTGGTAAAATTTTCACGGAAGATTGCGATAACGTTATTAACATTTTTTGTCACTTCCGTGATTGATGTAGTTACATTTAATCTTTGATTTATTAAGATTTGACAAAGTTCAATATCACTCTAAAACATAAAAATACGGCGTAATACTGTATTTGGTATGGTATTAACTACTGTTTTGAAGGTACTGAAACTGAGTTTAAAACCATATGGACTGAAAGGCCACCAGAAGAGATTACAAGATGTTAATGAACCATCATTAGAAGATCTGGAAAGTTCTAGAGAACAAGTTAACAACGAAAATGGGAAAGTGAACATTGCTTATGAATTAGACACAGCTCCACCCTACCCTGCTGGACAATTCACTAAGTTATAGTGTTTTATTTATGCAAGTGTTGGACTAGTTTGATTGTTTGTAGCATACATAGAGTACAGCATACGAAACTTCTTAATGGTTCTTACATGGAAACAACACACACGAACGTAGTTCAAAACCATTTTTAATTATTATGTACCTCGACTGAAAGTCGATATATTTAAAGAAAGCCTTCAAATCACATATAAGTAACTTAATAAGCCTTTAAATGTGATTTGAAGGTTTTGTTGAAATATCATAACCTTTTTAAAAATTCGACTTATTAACTCAAGGTAGTGATTCTACGTTCGTGTGTGTAAGAACCATACGAGTTTCGTATCGGAGTCAAGAAGCCCCGATTTTCTAACACATTGAGATTTTGGGTATTCGGGTAACAGTCATACACATTGATAAGTAATTTTGATATCTTACTTTTTTTATTTGAATTTTGAGTTTTCGGTCTAACAAGTCAATGTTCACTTTGATTGCGTCTATAGGCTAATATTGTATGCATGCGACGTTTCGACATGTTTCTCCAGTCGTCAACAGGAACATAATGATGAAAAGTGAAAGAGAAAAATTAGTACATTATTGTACATAGTCTAGTATATTTATGATGAAATAAACTGCTATTTCTATAATGAAAACTTTTATTGAAACATTGTTACATTGTTTAACATACTAACTATCTGTTGTTCAGGATTAATATTTTTATCAAGTAGAATATATTGCTCAACTGTCATCCTTAATTAATAATTCAGATGCATGAGATATGCACACATCTCTTTGAGGTAAGAACTAGTCAGTTCCCCCTTAGATGTAAAGCACGTAGATGTCAACAAAAGTCATACAAAATAACTATGTTATATATGATTCAAAATACCGGAGAGTAAAACATTCAAACCAGAAATGATTCTTTATCTGAAAGTGATAGCTTTTCGCCATTTTAAACCGATTTCTATTATGTGGGTGTCTATCAAAGCCTATAAATTTTGAATTACGATTTTTGAAATTTCCGGCTATTTCAAATTTGCAAAAGTCTCATTTGCGATTAGTTCCCTCCCTTGAACAGTTGAAAATATTTAAAAATATTTTTATCAGTTAAAAAGTTATAACGGTTGAAGAAGACAAAGTACAAGACATGCTTTCTCATCCACACGTTTGATACCACTTTTCGTGTATGTAACTTCAGACTCTCTGCACTATTCTCCCATTAGCTAAGTGAGCTGAATTTTTAACAGATTATTTTACTCTTGTCATTCTGTTTTCAACAATTTAATTTTTTTAAATAGTACCAGACTCAAGTTCTAACGTCTGATGTATTCACAATCAGAATGTACTCTTTATTCTCCTTATAACAATATGTGACTTGACGTATGGATTTATACAACATTAAGGATCGTTAAATTTGGAAAAAGATTTAAACAATTTGAGAATTAAATAAAGGTTTTAAAATAACAGACAGCTGTAATAATAAAACGGAGGATTTGAACTTTTCAAATCAGGTTGTGGAATCAGAGTCTAAATTAAAAGTCTAAAAATGTTTTTCAAAAAAATGTTTTTCCTGATCTTTTTGGAACATTGTAATATTGAAAAATATATAAATTTAGAATTGTGAATTTGCAATTTTTTGGATGTTTGAATTTTTACTTTTACGATATTTAAAGGGACATTCCGCTTTTTTTTAGGTCGAAAATAAGTATGTCCTATTTAAAATAAACGCCTAATTGTAGAAAAATAGGTCTATTACGTATTCTTAAGGTTACAACTAATAATATTGAGTCATTATAAAGGCAAACACCAAAACAAGGTTAAAATGTTTATTTAACTATTAGTGCTCCGTTTTTGATTAATCTTAATTTTCAATTAACAAATTCAGTTTGATCAAGAAGATATAAAGATATAAATAGCATACTATAGAAATATTTCCAGGTATAATTTACAATGTTTTTGATAATGAAATTGTTTTCCAAAAAAGCGGAATATCCCTTTAACTTGGGCATGTCTCTGAGATTAGCACGGACAGTTCCACATGACATAATGTGCTTCTGTAATAGATCATATTGTAGAATTGGACTATCGAAGATGTTGTCGATGGAAATTTCACGTCCAGAGACGTCTAAAGATTGCGTAAATTGGTGCACAATGCTTTCGCCTAAGCCATACTGTGTGTCAAGCTTTCTTCCAGTATTCATATCGAATTCTAATAAGTAGTACCTCTAGGTTTAAGAAGTGCTCCATGTTTGTCCAGTAGATGCAAAACATGTCCCTTTATATCAGAAACTCATTACTTTGTAAGCAACGCTACGGATAAAAGGTACCCGATCCAGGAACATCTAACATGTGAACATTCGTATGTAATATATTTAATTTCTTGCAAGAAATGCCCCAAACAATATGTAGGAGAAACTAAGAATAATTTACGAACTCGCTTTAATGCTCATAGGTCAGACATCAATTTAAAGAAAGACAAGCCTGTTTCTAATCATTTCAACCCCGATGACCATTCAATAGACGATCTCACCCTAATCCCAATTGAGCGTATAGAAATTGACTTGCCCGAAGATGAAACTACCAAATTCCGTCAATCTAGGGAGGCCCATTGGATTGAGACATTGAATACAGCAAGACCTATAGGACTAAATATTCATCATAATGTAGGCATAGCACCCTTTGTTGTCCCGTTTAATACAACCAGCAATCGAGCAAGCAAGATAGTTCATGCCCACTATAAGAGCCTTCAAGAGAAATTCCCCCATGTCTATAAGCAGAAAATGATAGTTGCATATTCAAAACATAAGAACTTAAATGATAATATTGTTCATATTAAACTAAAAACAATCAGTACATAACAGATACTATACTTCTCGCCCATCGGGGGAGTTAAAGAAAACCCAATATCAAGACCCTTAATCCCAATTTCTAAATAAAGTGTCTGCTCCACCCTAGGCCTGTACATTTGGGAGAATCAAACCCTCCCTTCCCCGAAATCTAATAAGTAGCCTGTTAATGAGTCACGGCGACACCAGATTTTAAATACCCTTACATTTGATATACTGTTTCAAGGAATTTAGTTATTTGAATTTCACCATATGTTCATCATTTGACTGGTGCCTTGTTGCTTCCAATGCTCCCTGAAAACTTCTGTTTAAATGTGAACGAACCTTACATTTTAAGTATAAGGCACTTGGATATCGGTATGAGTAGACCAGTTGTCCCTAAAAGATAGGGAGACGATGATAGCTCATTACTAAATACATACCGAAAATGCCTTTAATTCAGTTAAATCAGTTGCAAACGGAATGCCTTTCTTTTCAGTATACAGCTTACTTTGCATATTCAAGTCACCAATAAGCTTAGCACAGCCGCACACACATCTTGGAAAACATCAACAGAATCATAGATGCGTTTCATCTTAACATATGGATGGAATCAGGCATAGATATAGGGTTGTCAGTCACAGTTTTGCGCCAGAGAAAGTTCAGGTCTACCTTTAGACTTTTTTTTGCACCTTCATTTACGTCATTATGATCAGTCATATCCCTTTCGCCCTCTTCAATAATATCCAAGATCTTCATCAAGTTTTAAATCACATTCACAGTCACTGTTATCTGCAAATAAAATCTGCTCAACCTTTTTTGGTTTAATCACAAATCGATTTTCCCTTATATTCATTATGTTTTTTTAATAGAAGGCTAATATTCCCTGCCTTTTTCTGGGAGTTATCTGCCCTTCAATTGCGAGTAGTACCCCTTTGAAGCGAATATTTGCCTTATAGGAGCACTGGGACACACGTGTGGTGCAAATCAATTAAAATTATTTTTATCTGTTGACAGAATTTATTAACATTACTAATTGATAAAGGTGTGGAACTATGTGTAGGGCGTTAGAAAGAACCCTAGAAAACAATGTTTTGAATTTAATAATAATGGGCATTTTCATCTCATGACGTCATCAACAGAGATTATCTAATACTTTACATTTTCTATCAAAATAGAAACTAAAAACCAAATAAATTATTTGATATATACAGAAACATAACAGTTACATAAAAAAAACATTACACAACTTTTGGGACGTATTTTCCCATGGTCCTGAAACTTATAATTCTTGACATACCTAGGTTTATAATTGTCGTATATTACTTTCGATTTCATAGGGCTCTTAAAATGGGTAATTTGCATAACGTTAATTTTCAATGTATTTGAGCCTTGACAACAATTGGTTTGATATTATTGTATACACTTGTCATAAGCTGTCTTACAATGTACATTATTTTTTTATCATCCACGTTTGACTTATGAAAATATGCAGCTTTGAAAATAACCATTATTATATAGGCAGATTTCATAAATTCTTTTTCATTTGAATTGTATATTGTTATACGCGGTTTTGAGTTGATTAATGCGATATTTTTTAACATTCATAGTTTTGGACTAATATTAAGGATTATCTACTAAAAACTGTTTGTCGTTTTTAGAAGTTAATCTCTTATCACCATGTTAAATATCTTCCTCTCTATGTGGACGCAGGTTTATATTGTCAACACACCATCTATCCATTTTACAGCCTTATTCGTTGTCTATATAATCATTGTTCCCCTTTATATTTTAAACTGAGATCAAATTAAAGTAAGACTGGTTCAGTTTGCTCAAATTAATATATTTTTTATATCGTACGCTAGTGAACATAGTGTCATATCGAATCGAAATGA